CTCCAGTTTTTTATGAACATGTCATGCCCTGAACATACATATGACTTTCTATAGTGTCCTGTACACAAGGTTATGTTCAAATGTCCACAATGTCAAATGAATCTTCAAAATTCTTCTCTTCTGAATTTTGGAAGTAAATTCTATGTTGACTAGTTGAATTTTCCTATCCTTAGTATGTTTTTTTAAATATTTTAATTATTTATCCATGAGAGACACAGAGACAGAGGGAGGCAAAGACACAGGCAGAGGGAGAAGCAGGCTCCATGCAGGGAGCCCGACGTGGGACTTGATCCCAGGTCTCCAGGATCATGCCCTGAGCTGAAGGCAGCGCTAAACCGCTGAGCCACCTGGGCTGCCCTCCTTTTGTGTTTTAATGCTCTTTACTGTAACATTTAGGAATAATGTCTGCAAATCTTCCAGTCTATGTTCCAAGTTAAGCAAGCCAGATAAGGACCCTTCATCAGACTTTTAGGTAATTTTCAGACTATATAAATAGACACATACAAAATAATATGTGAATTGAATCATGACCAACTGAAATATATGCAGGTAATATGAAGATAGTTTAACATTTGAAAACAAAACAACAAAGAAACACATCTATGCCAAGGATTTGTACATAACAATGCAAAGCAGTTTTTATTCTTTTTAAAAGCAGTTTCATTCTTATCAAAATAGGAATGAAAATAAACAAACAAATCTACAATGAGTAAATGGATGATTAAATTTAGTATATTTATTCAAAGGAATACAACTCAGCACTAAAAAGTGATAGGCTTACAAGGAACACAGCATTAAGGGGGCACCTGGGTGGCTCAGTCGATTGAGTGTCCAATTCTTGATTTTGACTCAGGCCATGATATTGTGAGTCATGATATCCAGCCCTGTTGGGGCTCCATGTTCAGCAAAGAAGATTCTCTCCCTCTTCCCCTCCTTTCCACTTACTTCCTCTCTCTCAGTTAAATAAATAAATCTTTAAAATAACACACAGCATCATGAATTGAATCTCTAATTTATAATGGTGGATGAAATAAGCCCAACACCAGAAGTATATGCTTTATGACTGTGCATATGTGAACATCTAGTAAAGGAAAGCTAAGCCATAGTAGTGAACAGTGATTGCTTGACTCTAAAGGGAGAAATTAATTGAGTGCATTAGGCTTGAGAAAATTTTGAGTGATTAAGAAGACTGTATTTCTTGATTGTGGTTGTAGCTACACATGTATATACATTTGCCAAAATATATTGAACTTTACACTTATAACAGGTGTATTTTATCATATGTCAACTGTAACTCCACAATTTTATTTTTAAAAGATATCTCCTGTTGCCTTTTGGGGAATTATTCTTAGTGAGAACAGGACTAACACCCTGGTGCATTACTTGGCATCCTTACATAATTAGCAATGCTCATGTCCATCTAGATACATGCCATCAGCATCCCATGTCACTGCAGATGAACACCTCTGCATATTTTCAAGTATCCCTTGGTGATTTCCACTTACATAGTGATAAGCATTTGTTTAAAGTTCCATTCTTTAATAAATAAATGAATGTTTGGCTTACTTGGCATTTATGCACAAGATGTGAGTTTTTATTTTATGTATGGCATAACCAGTGTTCATAAAACAATTTACTGAACAAAACATACTTTTCCTTGAATTATTTGAACAAGCTCAAACTCATATTGTAAATTCCTTTATTATAAATACACATATATGGATATCATCCATATTTATTTTATTTGATTTTCTATATTATCATTTTCTTATCTTCCAATACCAAAGTTTGTCATATTTTCATACTTTCTGCACATATTCACTATGCTCCTGTACCTAAAACCTTTGTGAAATGCTTAAACCTTGGAATCTACATAGTGGGTAGCAATGTGTTCTTACACACTTGGTCAGTGCTTTCTTAATTATTTTTTTATAAATGATACCAATCCAGGGTTTTGTCTTATTAGTTTTGTATTCTGTTATTTTGAAAGAAGATTTTTCAATGCTGATCTTGTATGCATTTTGCAGCTAGGAAATAGTATTTTCTGGTCATGCCTCTGGTGGCTGAAATATTAAGAGGTTCAAGTCCATACTCATAAATGAAGGGTGAAAAAAAATTAAAAAAATAATAAAAAAAATAAATGAAGGGTGAATACCATGAGCAATAGCAGCTAATGAAGCCGCTTAGGAGACTATTCCTTCAGTTTCTTTTTTTTTTCTTTTTTTATTCCTTCTGATTCTAATATTTCTCATAGTTGCTTTGTTCTTCCTTTGGCCCCAAGGGGAGAGTACTTTGACCCTCTCCAAAGGAGAGTCCTCAGGGAATCTACATGAATGCCCTAAGGTAAAGGCAAATTTCCAAGACTCAATACTCATAAAATTCTAATACTTCTCGCACGGGCAATTTCAGAACGTGCTGTTTCCTGCATACTGGCAATTAGGTATAAGAAAATAGAGGGAAAATACACACACACACACACACACACACACACACACAAGGAATTTGGTGTTTATTTGTAGCATAGATGGTGTAAAACAGCCAATAAAATAGCAGGGTGGAGAGTACTTAGCTTACTTCCCTTGTAACAAATTGAATATAGAGTGCTGTAACATATACCTTGGTGATAAGAAATATTTAAAGAGCATGTAACCAATAAAATTCCACTCCTGAAAAATAATCAAACAGAATAAATTCTGTGAGTACATCTGGGGGATATAATCTGCACTGTTTTTCACTTGCCTAGAGAGTAGTGGTGGTATTTAACAAAATACTTTTATAATCTGGGATATTTCTGCAATCTGGGGAAATATTCCTTCTCATAATTTTATTTGGCATGTAGGATAGGCAGCCATGGCCTATAAATTAAAACAACTATAAATAAATTTTAATAATATATGAATTAGTTTTTAAATTTAATGAATTTTAAAATATATAGTTTTATAAATAATGTAAATAAATTATGCATAGATTTATAGGTATGCAAAGTATAAAATGAATATATAAAATTATAAATTTAAAAATATATATGTTCATTTTCATATTTAAATATTATTTTATTTTTATAAATGTGCTAAATGATTTAAAATTGATTTTTAATCACCCAATTCCCTCCTATGGTTATATATAACTTGTCTAAGCCTTTTTCTAAAATGATTTATTTATTTGTTCATTTGAGAGTAAATACTGCAGGAACAGAGGGGAGGGGCAGAGGGAGAGAGAGAAGCAGAGTCCCTCTCTCAGGAGAGCCCAACACAGGGTTGGTTTCAGGACCCTGAAACCATGATGAGAACCAAAGGCAGATGCCCAATTAACTGGGCCACACAGGCACCCCGTATATAACCCTATTTTTACAAAAGACAGAATTGAATAAGTATGATGTCTTTTATTTTTTTTATTTTTTATTTTTATTTATTTATGATAGTCACAGAGAGAGAAAGAGAGAGAGGCAGAGACATAGGCAGAGGGAGAAGCAGACTCCATGCACCGGGAGCCCGACGTGGGATTCGATCCCGGGTCTCCAGGATCGCGCCCTGGGCCAAAGGCAGGCGCCAAACCGCTGCGCCTCCCAGGGATCCCGTATGATGTCTTTTAGAAGGAGAAATTTTTTTCTTTGTGATAATTCTTTTTTCATGGCTCTAGTGATATACTTTCCAAATTCTTATTTTTCTTGTTATATTAATACTAGGAGAAAAATTTCCATACAATATTTATCTGATAATAGGAAAAATATATACTTCGGTCTCTTGGTCTTACATGTGTTACATAAATGTTAATATTTTTCTAATGAAAATAAAAAATCAAACTCAAGAAAAATATTTTAAAAAATTACTCCCAATTTTTTCTCTAATCATTTTCTTATATTATAAATTCTAGGTTATTTTTTTGTGTTTTGGCAGAACATTTTTGGCAGAAACATTTTGGCAGAAACATTTAACATAACTATAACTATAAATACCATATTGTACGTTTAAAATTGGTAAGTGGTTATATTAAATGTTCTTTCACAGTAATGATACTATGGAAACAAACTCTATGTTCATTGAGAATAATGGATTTTTGACTTAAAATTATTTTCTTTACTGTCCCTAACTAATGTAGGAAAATTGGTGAGTGTAATGACTAAAAATAAAAAAATAAGAAAATTAAAGGAATATTTATGAAAAAATTATCTCCATATAGATGTTGACTCCTACTGTCTATTTTCTGGAGATAGAATTTACTCATGTACCCATCTCCAACCTAACCCTAATTGGTGGTGTATAATATGGGTAATAAAGTTAATACTGCAGGCAACCATTTATCTTCATAAGACAACAAGTATGTCTAGGAGCTTCATTATAAGAGCTCCATCCTATCCACTAGCCCCTGATAAAAATGTTATTGATCTTTCTCCATCATCTGATGAATAGTATGTGAAATACTCAGTTATGGAACAATGCTATGTTCTTCCAAGAGCCACATTTTATTTTTTTTTAATTTTTATCTATTTATGATAGTCACACAGACAGAGAGAGAGAGAGAGGCAGAGACACAGGCAGAGAGAGAAGCAGGCTCCATGCACCAGGAGCCCGACGTGGGACTCGATCCCGGGTCTCCAGGATCGCGCCCTGGGCCAAAGGCAGGAGCCAAACCGCTGCGCCACCCAGGGATCCCCAATAGCCACATTTTATATATTAGTTTGGACTGTGGACTTTTAAAACAACTTCCCTGGATAGAATCTGTCCCACCACTTAAAGTGATGTAACAGTGACAAAATGATTTCTCAACTCAGTTTCTTTATTAGAGAAGTGGATTATTATACTATTTATTTTGGAGAATTATTCTGCAAACCAAATAAGCTAACTCATGGAAAATATTTATAAAGACACCAACTAAGGTTACTGCCAGCCACTAACTTTTTAAATTATTATTAGTCTATTATCATGAAATAAATATTCCATTTTTGCTTATCCAGACACTCTGCGCTTTGCTGGTTTTTTCTAAATCAGAGACGATGAGCTATGGATATAACAAACCAAACAAGAGTGACAGAGTTCATTTTTCTTGGGTTTCCTGGTGTTCTACATCTGCGGATCACCTTGTTTGTGATATTTCTTATTGTATATCTGCTCTCCCTCATGGGAAACACCCTCATTATTTTTCTTGTTCTCATGGATATCACACTCCAAACGCCCATGTACATTTTCTTAGGAAATTTGTCATTCCTGGAGATCTGGTACACCACAGCCACGGTGCCTAAATTGCTGGACACCTGCCTCTCACAGGTTGTTACCATCTCTGTTTCTGGTTGTATCACCCAGTACTACTTCTTTTTCTCTATGGGAGCTACAGAGTGCATCCTGCTGGCGGTGATGGCCTATGATCGGTACCTGGCCATCTGCAGTCCTCTCCATTATTCACTCCTCATGAGTATTCGTATGTGCCTGCAGTTTTCAGCTGGATCTTGGATTGGGGGCTTCATTGCCCCTCTCCCACCTACCATACTCATTTCTCATCTAAATTTCTGTGGCCCCCAGAAGATTAACCATTTCTTTTGTGACTCAGACCCCATTTTCAAACTCTCTTGCTCAGATACATTTTTGGTGGAGACTTTGGGTTACACATGTACCTCTGTCGTGATTCTAAGTTCTTTCCTTCTCACTATGTCCTCTTATGGCTACATAGTGGTCACAATAATCAAGCTGTCTTCCCAAAAGGCACAAAAAAAAACTTTCTCCACCTGTGCCTCCCACCTCACTGTGGTCTCTATCTATTATGGCACCATTATCTTTGCCTATGTTCACCCTCCAGCGAAGCACAACTTCACCATTGGTAAAGTGATCTCAGTGTTTTACTGTGTGGTTACCCCTTTGGTAAACCCTCTCATATATACACTGAGAAACAAAGATGTGAAGACAGCTTTCAGAAAAGTTCTAGCAAGAAAGATATTGCTTTTGACCACAAACATGCAAAGGATTTGAGAGACACTCTAAAATAATCAATTTATAATGGATTCCTAAACCAAATTTCAAAAGGTAAGTATTGAAAATTATATTATAAAATTGATATTACTTAATATGGACATTTTGGGTTGAATTATACCAAAATAGATATAGTATAATTGGTACAATTAAGAGTGTCTTAGTGCAATGCCACAATGATAAACTTAACTCAATCTTTCTGTTTAGCATATTCTGAGCCAGTCACAACTGAAGAAATATTTCCATATCCCATTAATGGTAGTAATCATTCCAATATCAATTCAATGGAATAATTTATATCTAAGTACTCTATTTATCACTTCATTGATCCCAAAGCTATAACTGGATTTCTTTCTTTTCTTCCATTCTTTTTATTGATTATTTTATTTAACTTTTAGTTTAATTAATTTAATTCATTGAAAAGGCAACTAGAAGCTGAGGTGATTTTGTGTATTTCCTAAAAGAAAAAGTGTGTAACTTAATCCAACTTCAATTTAAAAAAGAAGTTTGTCGACTCCATTCATTTACTTTAAAAAAAAATTTATTGGAGTTCAATTTGCCAACATTTAGCATAACACTCAGTGCTCATCTCGCCAAGTGCCCACCTCAGTGCCCATCACCCAGTCACCTGAACCCCCAGCCCACCTCCCCTTCCATTACCCTTTTTTCATTTCCCAGAGTTAGGTGTCTCTCATGTTCTGTCATCCTCACTGACATTTTCACTCATTTTCTCTCCCTTCCCTTTATTCCCTTTGACTAATTATTATATTCCCCAAATGAATGAGACCATATAATGTTTCTCCTTCTCTGGTTGACTTATTTCACTCAGCATAATACCCTCCAGGTCCCTCCATGTCGAAGCAAATAGTGGGTATTTGTAATTTCTAATGGCTGAGTAATATTCCATTGTATACATAGAACATAGCTTCTTTATTCATCATCTTTCGATGGACACTGAGGCTCCTCCACAGTTTGGTTATTGTGGACATTGCTGCTATAAACATCGGGGTGCAGGTGTCCCGGCGTTTCACTGCATCTGTATCTTTGTGATAAATCCCTAGCAGTGCAATTGCTGGGTCGTAGAGCAGTTCTATTTTTAACTCTTTGAGGAACCTCCACACACTTTTCCAGAGTGGCTGCACAGGTTCACATTCCCACCAACAGTGAAAGCGGGTTCCCCTTTCTCCACAACCTCCCCAACATTTGTTGTTTCCAGCCTTGATAATTTTCCTCATTCTCACTGGTGTGAGGTGGTATCTCATTGTGGTTTTGATTTGTATTTCCCTGATGGCCAGTGATGAGGAGCATTCTCTCATGTGATTGTTGTCCATGTTTGTGTCTTCTTTGGTGAAATTTCTGTTCATGTCTTTTGCCCATTTCATGATTGTATTGTTTCTTTGCTGTTGAGTTTAATAAGTTCTTTCTAGATCTTGGAAACTAGCCCTTTATCTGATATGTTATTTGCAAATATCTTCTCCCATTCTGTAGGTTGACTTTGAGTTTTGTTGACTGTTTCTTTTGCTGTGCAAAAGCTTCTTATCTTGATGAAGTCCCAATAGTTCATTTTTGCTTTTCTTTCTTTTGCCTTTGTGGATGTATCTTGCAAGAAGTTACTGTGGCGAGTTCAAAAAGGGTGTTGCCTGTGTTCTCCTCTAGGATTTTGATGGAGTCTTGTCTCACATTTAGATCTTTCATCCATTTTGAGTTTATCTTTGTGTATGGTGTAAGAGAGTGGTCTAGTTTCATTCTTCTGCATGTGGATGTCCAATTTACCCAGCACCGTTTATTGAAGAGACTGTGTTTTTTTCCAGTGGATAGTCTTTCCTGCTTTGTTGAATATTAGTTGACCATAAAGTTATGGGTTCACTTCTGGAATCTCTATTATGTTCCATAGATCTATGTGTCTGTTTTTCCATTCACTTACGTTTATCATAATGTATTATTTTTATAAATTCTTAAAGCTTATTTTCAGAAACTACAATAACTGTGATTTCACTGGAAAAGAGAAAATTTGGTTACAATAATAAACACCACATTTCCAGAAGTTAACTCTGATTAAAGCAGATTTTCATGGAGTCTCAGAATCAATGTTGTTGGATAATAAATCCTGAGAGAATAAAACAAAATGCAAATGTGAGTCAGTGTACCATTATCCCTAACAAGAAAGTATAAAAATGGAAGTGACAAATATTTTATTTTGATTTGAAGAAGAGAATTTCAAGAAATTGCACAGAATGTAAATGAAACAAGAAATATTTTGTACAGAGGATATTTACCCACAATTTCTTTGCTAAATCTTGACAATACATTTACAGAAATCTGTGTTTTACCAGATGAGATTATAATGTATGCAAAGGTAACTTTTATAAGCATTTGAGCACTCTCTTCATTTAAGAAAGTGAAAATCTTTTCTGTGTGGCTGTAGATTTTCTTGTGTTATAGATTTGCTACAATAAATGATTCTTTAAAATTTTGAATATTAAGTTTCTAACTACGTGTCCTTTTGAAATATTGTTGTTTTAATTTCCATGTAAAGAATCTTTATGCCTCACTGATTTTTTTCTTGTAAAACTATGAAGTTTAAATGAGAACAAACAAAACAAAACTAAACTAAACTTTATTTCATTACCCTTAAGGAAACACACACACACACACACACACACATCTCATGTAGTGGTCCCTTATTATTATTATTATTTTTTAAAGGTTTGACTTATTTATTCATTGGAGACACAGAGAGAGAGGCAGAGACACAGGAAGAGGGAGTAGCTGGATCCCTACAGGGAGCCCAATATGGGGCTCGATCCCAGGACCCTGGGATCAAGCCCTGAACAAAAGGCAGATGTTCAACCACTGAGCCACCTAGGTGCCCCAGTCCCTTATTATTTAAGTCAGAAAGCCTCACACTTTAGAAATTATATTTTTGTCCCCTACTCCATCATTATTTTTTAACTAGTCCATCACCAGTTCTTATTTTTACAAGAAAATTCTCCATTAATATATCAAAGTATTTTCATTTCCACATATGCCACACATTTAGCACTACATTTACTCTGGAATATTCTCTTCATGTGTCTCAATCTTTCTTACAAGACTTTTTCCACTATGACTTGCTTATCAAACCAGAAGGGACATTTTACAATGTCAGCTGAAGGGAAAGAAGAGACCACATCAAAGAAGGTAGCAAGTACATAGACATGACTTAGAGAAGAAATGGATCTTGGATGATGCAGAGGGGAGGGAGCTATGGTCACAGATAATGGTGAAAGGAGAGAGGATCACACAGGGGAACACACAAGGAGAAAGTTTCCCTGAAACTATTGGCTTGGAAAAGAAGGGTAGATTTTCATGAGTTCTTGCAAGCAGTAGGGTTTTAAAGCAGAGTTTTAAGGTCAGTGGGCTTGGATGGGATAGAGCCTGGAAGGCAAAACAGGAGATAGGACAGGAAAACAACCAAGGGCAGAGAGCCTGGGAACAGCAAAGTGAAGAAAGACATGGTGTAGGTGGGTGATTGCTCTTTTCCGAGTGTACCCTAAGAGGCAGCATTCACAGAATACCTCTCCATGAACATAGGAGCTGCTTGGTGCCATTACTTTCTCCCAGCACTAAGATGAACACAAAGCCAATGTGGGAAGTAACACATCACAAACATTGGCTGCCTAACTTGTTTGTAGCAAGCATCATAACTCTATGCTCTTGTGGAGCTCCTCTCAGTCAAGATTGGCATAGATTCAAAGACATGGGACCCCACCCCTGAAAGCCAGTATAAATCTCAGCCTATACCATGTGTCCAGATAAGAGAGTTCTGCAGGGCCTTACTTCTGGAGGAGTTGGTGTCAGGTTTCATTTCACAAACATTCCAGAGCACACCTAGTTAAAACATCACATTCAGGCCATGTACAAAACTATGCCACAGCAGGCAAGAAGAGCCTCTGCAGATCACTGGCTTGAGGAATAAAGCATCCAGAATACAACAGGCAGAGCACATAGCACATCCTGGAGACAATCCCTGAAGCACCAGACTGTGGACACTACATGAAGTTTTTCTCATGAGGTCATTACATTAAGAGAAGGAAACATAACTGGCTTTTCTAATACAGAAGAAGGCAGCTTTATAGAAAAAATTCTAGGATGTAGGAATTTATCCCAAATTATAGAACAAGGTAAGGCCACAGCTAGAGATCTAAGCTACATAGATGTAAGTAACATGCATGAGAGAGAATTTAATCATAAGGATACTCATTGGACTTGAAATATGATAGAAGACACCAATGGACCCTTAAAACCGAGACAAAAGTTTTTAAAATGAACTACTGGGACTTCGTCAAGATAAGTGCTTTTGCAAAGCAAAAGATACTGTCAACAAACTCAAAGACAACCTACAGAATGGGAGAAGATATTTTCCAATGACGTATCAGATAAAGGGCAAGTTTCCAAGATCCATAAAGAACTTATTAAACTCAACACCAAAGAAACAAACAATCCAATCATGAAATGGGCAAAAGACATGAACAGAAATTTCACAGACGAAGACACAGACATGGCCAACAAGCATGACGAAATGCTCTGCATCACTGGCCATCGGGGAAATACAAATCAAAACCACAATGAGATACCACCTCACACCAGTGAGAATGGGGAAAATCAAGAAGGCAGGAAACCACAAATGTTGGAGAGGATGTGGAGAAAGGGGAAGACTCTTGCACTGTTGGTGGGAATGTGAACTGGTGCAGCCACTCTGGAAAACTGTGTGGAGGTTCCTCAAAGAGTTAAAAATAGATCTGCCTTACCACCCAGCAATTGCACTGCTGGGGATTTACCCCAAAGATACAGATGCAATGAAACGCTGGACACCTGCACCCCGATGTTCATAGCAGCAATATCCACAATAGCCAAACTGTGGAAAGAGCCTCAGTGTCCATCAAAAGATGAATGGATAAAGAAACTGTGGTCTATGTATACAATAGAATCTTACTCAGCCATTAGAAATGACAAATACC